TTCTTTTAGGCCACGTTAAGTGATTTCTACAATTCTTTTTTCAAAGCAAAGGTTTTACCTCACAGGTGGTCTCATACTAATTTGGTTTAAATCCGATCATTGGATCATGAAGAAATTAGCGATAATCTTAAAATTTTATATGAGAATTGAAGTCGGTTTTGTTTTTTGCTTAAAAATTACTTGTTTATTTAACTATTTACATACATATTTATAACAGCAACTTGTCGGCACTCGACCGTTTCTTTCAAAATACGAGAATTGGATAGATGTTGAAAATGTCCATTAACACATACATACAGTGACACAAATATAATTTGGGGCGCAACATTGTAGCACATTTTGGACATTTTCAACCGACTTCAAAAATAAGGGAGGTTATCAATTCGTCGAAAGATTTTTATCTTTTTTTTATGTATGTTACCGCATAACTTTGGACCACGTTAACCGATTTCTATAATTCTTTTTTTAAAGGAAAGGTGTTACTTCACAAGTGGATATTGTTTAACGGTACTCCTAAATTTTTATATGAGAATTGAAGTCGGTTGTGTTTTTTGCTTAAAAATTACTTGTTTGCTTAAAAATTACTTGTTAATTTGTTTATTTAAGGTTTATTATTTCTTATGAAAGTATAGCTTATTACCTAATTTTATAGAGCCAAACTTCAGACTTTGTGACTTATGAAAATACGCAAAGTTTCACCAAAACTTAAAACTTCTTATTCAGAATGTGTAGAAAAAATTTTGGTATGCAGTTTTGTAGCCCATAAAATTTTAGGCATCAGTCATGACAAATGCAAGTTTCAAGTAGGTAGGACTTGCCGTTAATTTTTGGCAATTTATTTTTTGTTGACGCTGTAACGCGTTTTTTCCGTACAAAGTAGATAAGTATGTTCGAAATTGTTTTTATAAAATAACACTAAAGGCGCGACAACGGTAAAAAAAGAAATACATATGTACATTAGACCGTACCGGAAATAAGTTCAGCGTACACCACTAAGCCTAAAGTATTTTTTTCAAAGCAATTTANCCACTGTGCAGCGGCTGTCTACTCACTGCGCTGGCTGAATTTTTTTGAGGAATTGATAAAAAGTTTTCATTATCTACCATTATCAGGGGGCGCCATCGCTCGGTGAAATCCAAAAAAGAGACATCATGCCCTTTGATTGAAACTCTGAAATAATAAAAATAAGAGCCTAGCCCTAATTTAAGAACGTAGAACATGATGACAGACGCATATTATTTGCTTCTGAAGTAGTCTTCACTTCTGAAATTTTTATAATCGGGCATTTGATAAATGTAAAAAAAAATAAACATACAACAACAGACTCCTCCTCCTCAAACTAAGCAAAATCACTGTAGTAGAAATTCTAAAGTATGTACATACATTTGTATGCTTGTAAGTTAGTGCCAGTAAGCATTAAGTAGATGGTAATCATTAAGCCAAATCTACATAATTAGCTTAATGACTTCTGTTTTGGTTTATTAGGCTTTTAGGTTCAGAATTTTATGAACAATCCGAACGCAATAAGTATGCATTTACATATGTACACAAATGCAAACACTACAATTTGCCATTATTATGCTCTTTTATTCTATTAATGCCGCAATGGAAAATAGATGTTTTTTGGTGGTATTTGTAGGTATAAATAAGCGCAAATGTTGAGGGTAATCTGTTTCACAATCAATTAATTTTGCGTGTCGGAAAATGCCAGGCATATTTCTTTAGCATTCGAGTAATTCATAAACATTGTATGTATGTAAACTAGTGATGGGCAGTATCGAGTACTTTTGAGGATCGAGTTCTTTGGTATCGATACTTTTAAAGATCGGGTATTTTTCAGGGTACTGAGTACTTTCTTTAAATATAGACATGTTGGTAATATTTCAATACTTAGTGTAGAAATCTCACAAGCTGGCAGTATTTTATTCAAATTAATATATGAATCACAAATTACGTCAAATAATTGGCTAACTGTACTGGGTATAAGTATTGTACTTGAAAATTATTGAAACTGCAAATTGAGTCAAATCATTTCTGAATACCGTTAAATGTAAATAAAACTCAGTACTTTTTAAGTCTATTCGACCTAAATCGAATCCTGAGTACATGTATCAAAGCGATTATTGGAACAGAGTATTTTTGAGTACTGAGTACTTTCGAGTTCTTTTAAGTTCTGAGTACTTAGGATTTCTTTTTATGAGTACTGAGTACTTTCGAGTTCTTTTGTGAGTACTGAGCGCTTTTGTGGGTACTGAGTTCTTTGGGGTACTCAGTATCGATACTTTTAAAAATCGGGTGCTCTCGATTCTTTTGAGAATCGAGTTCTGAGTACTTTTGGTATCGATACTGCCCAGCACTAATGTAAACAGTACGTATGTAAGTACAAATAGATATAGGTTTTACACGACAAGTGTACAGAAGTTTAAACATTAAGTCTTGGCACCAGTATCTATGCTCTATTAGCGCTCAAGAAAAATAAAAAACCCAAAAAGAAACACGTTCAAGAATGAGAAAGAAATTTTACAATATACAAATTTCTAAAAACAGTTTGCAGCTCTCAAGAAATTTAAATTTTTCCATTTTTACTACTTTTTTTTATTTGTTTTTTGTAATAATTTCAATGAGAGACCCTTTTGTAAAGAAATACTGTTTTGTACACATTGAGAAATACATACATATGTACATATACATATATGTAAAAATTCTCGCGTTTTTTTCTTCATGAAGCTAACCCTGTCGCGAAAATCTCTAGTTCTGAACTGGTGCGCTTCTAGTACATTTAGACCCAGTATTGGTTCGCGATAAATCTCTTTTGCATGCAAACAACTGGCGAATTTAACATGACGATGGTCTAGGAAGTGTCAATTGGCCCCCGGTGCATATCTTTTTCGATAGTTCCGAACTAGTTCTAAATTCTATAGTTACGAAGCAGTTCTAAAAACGATAGACGAAAGAAAAAAGTATCATGATAATGCTTTTATCAATTTGAAATTAAATTTGTTTGAATGATTGTAAGAAATGTATGTTTACATACCTTCGGCTGTAGCTGACCAATTCTAAATTCGTCACCTTAGATAGAGATTTCTAATGAAAAACGTGAAATAAAATAGCTTCTTTAAGAGTACCACATTTCGCTGATTTTGAACTGGTGGGGATCTAGTTACTAGAGGACTGGTTCGTTTTTGGCGATAAAGATCTTGAACGGAACTGGAAACTTTATTCACTAGTCCGCGGTTTCACCGCAGGGTAAGGCTCTCCGCGCATTAAGCACCTAATCATAATAGTGTGATTGCTTCGGTATACTACAGCTTGGAAGTTTTGCGCCGAACACATACATATATGAAATATGGGTCCCTATTATGAGTTGCATTCGATCTTCGACTGTGGTCAAAAGGGCTGATAGTATGGATTTTCATTTGGTATTAGGACGCCCATTCGATGAAGAATAGCGCTGTTGTGGGTTTCGCTCGTTTAAGTTTTGCTTTGTTAAAAAATTTAGCAAATTAAAATAAAAGAAAGCGGGTTTATTACAGCATAACTAAACTAAATAGTGTGCTTATATTTAAATAAAAGAAAGCATGTTGATAAACCGACCTTGGAACTATAAGTAAAACCAGCTGTTTAGTACTCACGACCTTAGATCTGCATGAAATTATTTCTTTTTTAATTAGTGTTTAGCCGTCTAAATGTAAAAAACAAACGCAAATACTTACATTTTCTTACACTACGCTACAGCATCGAAATCAAAATTGTGTTCGACAGGAAATTCGATACTCAAAGAAAATTTCGACAGGGTTGCATAGCTCCTAATACGAATTTTACATTCGATCGTCGATAGGCAGCGAAGATCGAAAAACGAATGCAACTCATAAGAAATATATACAGATTTCAGTGAATCCATAATCGCGGTTTCTCCTAATCATAAGAGCGGCCTGAATCGAAGCGTCCAATACTTTTTTGTATTACTTTTCAGTTTATTTTAGAATATTTAGTGACTCAAACAAATGATCACGTGTTGATTGTTTTTTTAATATTTACAATGTTTTTTAAGTAAATTTATTTGTCATTTTTCTATAAAAAAATATTGTCCACGCTCTAACCAAAACCACGTAAATCAAGGTTTCAAACTTTATACAAAATTTAGGAGAATTCCACAAATTTTGATCAAAATCTCGAACTTTTTAATCTCATTCTTTAGCATATTTTTGGGTATGGAGTTTTATAGTCTAACGAAGTGTAAGTTTCAAGCGGCTAAAAATCACCTCGATTTTTAATTATTATTTTTTTTTTTTGTGGGAGATTTCATAAGCCATGTATATAACAGTATACCCAAAAGTTCAGATTTAAAATTTCAAAACTTTGGTGAAGATTAGTTAAGTTTTTTCTAAATTCCTTATAAAGTTTGACTTACGTGGTTTTGGTTAAAGCCACACACATACACCACATTTTTATAAAAAAGAATTAAAAAAATCTGAAAAACATCCAAATATTTGAGAAAAATCACTATGCACTCAGTTTTGATCGCCAGAATGTTGTATTTATGAATGCATACTATAACGCTGATAAATTTCGATCTCTGATAGGGTAGCTCTATAAAATTGTTTTATATGTACATTAGGGTGCCTCACCAAAAAAAGTTTCCACCGAAATTATAAAATACTGCCAAAAATTTCATTATTTGGATTACGTTGCTTAAGCTTAAGCTTTTCTAACAAATTTTCTTATTAAAAACTAGGTTTTTTGAAGTATTTTTAAATTAGCTCACGTAGTTCTTAATATTTTTTTTTTAAATATTTAGCAGCAGTCTTAAGATATAATAAATTGTATAATACCAATTGAAAAACAGTACAAATTTTTTTTTGTATGGAGCGTGATGCACCCTAATGTAAATACATACATACATAGATATTAGCACTGTAATTGAAATATACAATTGCTATGATTGATGATTAAATCAATGAACGACAGCATTTAATGAAGTTTTATTTTTAACTTTGCAGTGTGCAGAAAATGATGTACCCAGTCACCCAGGATTACGCAAAAACTTAATAGCATTGCCGATAAGCGCGTCGAAAGCGCAAGGTTGCGAAAAGGTACAGTATAAAATAGAGCAATTGATATGTATAAACTTTTTATTAGCGACCTTTGTTCGTTCGTAAATGCTTTTAGCCTTTGGTCAACGAGAATGAGCACAGTACTGAAGTCATCTTCTACCTGCTGGAGGCCTACAAAAAGCACGAAAAACTCTGGAATCCCAATCATCCACAATATAAATACAATGCCAATCGCAAGATGTTCCAAGAACTATCGCATCCACTGTTGCGTGACATGAATTACTCATTGGACGGCTCGGAGATCTATGCGATCATTAAGAGTTTGCGTTCACGCTATCGACTTGAGTTGGCCAAAGCACGCGAACGTAAGGGAAAGTACAAAACACGCTTTAAATATTTTGAGAAAATGGAATTCTTGCGAGATGTTATTGAGAATAAGCGTGCGGCACGCAAAGTTAAGGTAATTGATTGTGCACTTATTCTACTCCCAACTTGTAGCTACTGAACATACATTTTTTCACCCTTGTTGTAGAAACACCTTGACTGCTCAGCATCTGAAAAGTCTTTGGATGAAGACTGTACAGAAACGACACGTTCCACGCATAACCATGCCGTACTTACTTACCTCTTGGATGCCTTTAGAGGGCAGGAAGCGCTCTGGAATCCACAGCATCCGGATTATTTGCTATGTAATAAGAATGAACTGATGCGTGAAATCTCAATACAATTGTTGTTGGAGAAGAACGTTAGCATGTCGGCGGACGATTGCTTTACAGAGATACAAAAATTGCGCACGCGCTATCGTCGAGAGTTGCGAATCGTACACGAACACAAAGGGCTGTATGCGCCCAAATTGTGGTGCTTTGAACAGATGGAATTTCTGCAGAAAATATTCGAGGATCAGCTGCTTGATCGGCTAAAAAAGGTACAGAAATCTTCTTCAAGGAGTTATTAAAAAAAAATAAAAATCCTTTTACTAGAATGGTAAGATAAGCTATGTATATATACATATTAGACCGTACAATCTTACAAAGAAACAAAAAACGTTCACAGTACATAAATCTTAAAATATTTTTTTGCCTATGGGTTGCTTTTTTACATTAGTCAATCAAAAAACACTCTTAGCAAAAGTTTAAGAATTTTGCACTAACATTAGGGTGGTACGTTAGGGTGATAATAACTGAGAACAAAAAATTGTCTCCTCGCGGCAACAACATCGATATATTATACTTTAAGATCCTACTCTAGATACGAAAAATGTAAAAAAGCGATCTCTACGTTCGAAAAAAAAAATAAAATAAAATGTTCGAAATTGCCTTGCAAAATAATTTACAGTCAGGGGTGTACGGCGATCCTTTTTATGGTACGGTCTAATGTAAATACAAACACATCGTCGATGCCTTTAAAAACCGCCGAAATCGCCATATGAGATTAGGTAACCTTGAACTCGAGGAACAGAGCTTCATGCGTAACTATAGTAAAATCGTTATTCGAACAATAAATTTTTAAATGGCAAATAGATAAAATAACGTTCATTAAGTCAACGGGTGTCTTTCAAATACATAGGGCTGGTTTCTCCAACTCAACTTAACTTAGTTTAGCCACTTTTTGGACTTTAGTCAAAAGTTGGCCTACGTTTTACACAGATTATTCTTGACTAAGTCAGGAAAATTGGCTTAACTAAGTTAAGTTGCGTTGGAGAAACCAGCCCATAGACGATATGTTGGGAAGGAATGCTTAGGCGATCGGCTTAATATTTTTTTTGGTATTTTTCATATACATATATGATATATCACCGCGCCATCGAGTTCACTATTTCTCAGTTTTTACATGTACATATACCATACAAACTTTTTCTATTTATTACTTCTTTAAACTCCAAAATTACAGCGCAGAGGTGTGATCGCTTGCAAACCCAAAACGCAGTACTTAAAAGCTAAATCTATAGACTTCAAGAGCACCGATGACCATCTAACTTTCATCGAAATCTACAAAAGTTATTCCGCACTCTGGGATGTCGATCATCCCGACTACCGTTCGACCACCTATCGCAATGAAGAACTCAATCAAATGCTAGAGGAAGTTAATCTAATGCTGGGCATTAATAGCACATTGGAAGAACTGCAAAAAACTTTATATGAGCTGCGAAAAGAGTTTTCAGCAGAAAAGCATAAGCGGCTGATCGAAACGAGCGATACAGCGACATCATTGCCATCACTACCTTCACCGTCAATTATACAAACGAAGTTAATAGAATTTCTCGATTTGAATTTGGGTCCATTTCGTTGTGGTGTTTGCGCTGAACTTATAAAAACCTCTGATCAGTATAAAATTCATATGTCCGGACATGATGGCATGCAACCGTTTATTTGTACGCTTTGCGGCAAGGGTTTTCAAATACCAGGCAATCTCACAATTCATATACGACGACACAAGGGCGACTTTCCGTATTCGTGTGAAGTGTGTGATAAGAAATTTGCTACATCCACGGAGGTTGCGATTCACATGCGAAGTCATACAGGTGAGCGTTGTTGGTTTAGGAAATTCATATCAATCGTAATTTTTTTATATTCATTTTTCCGATCAAGACTAATCGTTAAATATTGGATTTTTATTTTTTCGTTGAAATTTAATCGATTTATGGATTTTATTGCTTTCNCATCCACGGAGGTTGCGATTCACATGCGAAGTCATACAGGTGAGCGTTGTCGGTTTAGGAAATTCATATCAATCGTAATTTTTTTATATTCATTTTTCCGATCAAGACTAATCGTTAAAAATGGATTTTTATTTTTTCGTTGAAATTTAATCGATTTATGGATTTTATTGCTTTGCAGCAATTTTAAAAGTTGTAATTGAGACTGATTTTTTATGACCGTTTATAGTCGAAAAAATAGAAATAAAACAAGTAAAGAAGTATAAGTTCGGGCGAAACCAAATTTTATATACGCGGCGCAGGTATCAAGTATCATCGTTTAAACTTTCTCTCAACTACGGGTACCTTTGCACGATAAGCAGGGGTANGCAGCAATTTTAAAAGTTGTAATTGAGACTGATTTTTTATGACCGTTTATAGTCGAAAAAATAGAAATAAAACAAGTAAAGAAGTATAAGTTCGGGCGAAACCAAATTTTATATACGCGGCGCAGGTATCAAATATCATCGTTTAAACTTTCTCTCAACTACGGGTACCTTTGCACGATTTTATTCCGGCCTAGACCTTTGTAGTCATAAAGTAGGCGGTGCCCCGCCCACTTCCTAAAAGTCTATAACAGTCTTAATTATTGCTAAAAGACTCTTGTAAGTATTAACTTGGAGTAAATTAGTGTCCTCAGTTTTTTAAATATCGAAGTTTTTTTATTTTTGAAATTTGCCGTTATACGGGAAGGGANAGGTATCAAATATCATCGTTTAAACTTTCTCTCAACTACGGGTACCTTTGCACGATTTTATTCCGGCCTAGACCTTTGTAGTCATAAAGTAGGCGGTGCCCCGCCCACTTCCTAAAAGTCTATAACAGTCTTAATTATTGCTAAAAGACTCTTGTAAGTATTAACTTGGAGTAAATTAGTGTCCTCAGTTTTTTAAATATCGAAGTTTTTTTATTTTTGAAATTTGCCGTTATACGGGAAGGGAGTGTAATTTTAGCCCGATTTGAATAATTTTCAACAAATTGCCTTTCCGTACCAAGTTTATAAGGTGCACTATTTTTGGTTGAATTTGATGAATCGGTTACCGAGATACACATTTGTGGTCATAAGTCGGCGGCGCCACGCTCATTATACAAAAATTTAAGAGTGATGCATCGTCGATTTTGAGTGAATTAGCTTCAATAATTCCTAATTTATCGAAGTTTTCGTGTTTCTGGACGTGGTTATTGCCCAATTTCAAAGATTTTCAACAGGTTTGTTAGCTGGATATTAAGCAAGGCTCGCGCTGAGTTTGGTAGGGATTGGTGAAGCGGCTACTGAGATACAGCATTTCGTAATAAGTGGGCGGAGTCACGCCCATTTTTCAAAAATTTCATAATATTATTATTTTTTACCATAATTCCACTGCACGTACTAATTTTCAACAATTTTGATTAAACATTTACTGAAAAATCGTAGTTTTTGCAGTTTTCGAAAATAACGCTATATGGGATGTGGGCGTGGTTACAATCCGATTTCAATACCAACCTACCTTGNGTGTTTCTGGACGTGGTTATTGCCCAATTTCAAAGATTTTCAACAGGTTTCTTAGCTGGATATTAAGCAAGGCTCGCGCTGAGTTTGGTAGGGATTGGCGAAGCGGCTACTGAGATACAGCATTTCGTAATAAGTCGGACGGACAGACAGACATGGCTTAATCGACTTCTCTTTTCATTCTNGACGGACGGACGGACAGACAGTCACCGCTTAATCGATTTCTCTTTTCATTCTGATCATTTATGTATACATTTGTCTATATCTATCTCGATTCGTTTTGGCTGTTACAAACAACCGTTATGTGAACAAAATTATAATACCCTTGTGCACATGTGCGCTCGAGTATAAAAACAGACGAAAATTGTTGGGAAAGATAAAAATTGATAAAAAGCTAAAATAAATACTTGTCCGAAAAAATAAAAAACAAGTAAGAAAGTCTAAGTTCGGGCGGAGCCGAACATTAAATACCCGGCGCAAGTATTAAATATATGTTTTTTCACC